TGCGGGGAGCTCTGCAAAAAACGCATCTTCGCACGGGCAGCCCGTGCGTTGGCCATTTATTATTATTTTGATTAGTACGCTTTTTGCAGATGACAGGTATGAGAAAATTGATCACAGCAGCGGGAACACTCTCTCCGATTGGCCTGGAGGAGAAGGAAGAAGTGAAGAAAGTGGACGATTACGACGAAGTTGACAAATCAAAACAATCTGCTGAAAAATTAGGAACACGGAAGTTTCTGAGACATACCAAAAGTAATGTGGAAAAGAAAAACGAAAGTGACGAAGGTAATTTTTGTACTTTTTGTGGATCCTGTCCTCGTTTACTAAAATTACATAGCTTTTTGTCTGTCCGCATAAATCAGAACCATTCTTAGCTTATTTTTGAATATTTCTCAAAAGAGGAAGTTTTTGACAGCTTTACCAGCGAGTGGTTGCTGATATCCGTGCTGCCGTTTGGGCTACTGCCTAGTACCTGCTGCGTGCTTGGGTGGGTAAATTTTGACTCATTTTTAATGGCCAGGTGGTTGTTGATTCAAACCAGACCGTGCCTATTCCCCAGCGAATTTCGTGTGGCCACTCCGGCGGTGTTGCTTCATTTGCAGTACCGTCGCATCTTCAGATATTTAGGTGATGAAAGCGGTGAAAAGGCATTTTAGCGTAGTTAAACCGGAGGCACACTCGTCCTGGCAAAAGTATCAGTTATCTGATACTATTAAATTCCGAAAAAACCCAAATGTTTTTTGCACCAAATCTGTATTCTTCGATGAGTAATAATTATTAGTATTATGGTTCCACGTAAGCGAAACTCTGCTGAATTAGTGGGGCGGATCCTGTCGAAATTCAATTTTGATTTCACAGAAATTTTACACTTATGACACATGCACATTGAAAGGAGTTTTCTTGAACTGTTCCTTTTTTTTTTAAAAAAACTCCAAAGTATTGGTATTTGTTAACTAAAAAAGAAAATAAACAGAAAAGGCTCCGACGAAGCCGGCGGAGCACGGCCACGGTCTGATATCGATGGTAAAACGCACGCAAAGTGCGATCAGATCAAAATCGGCAGTAGCGGCGCCGCCAATTGAGATGCTGAATATGAACGCCGAGAAGATGGATATCCACGATGCAATGGATAAGTATAAAGTGCGCCTCTCAAAAAATCTTTCGAAGATTTTTTTAAAAAATTTTTCTAAAAATTTGTTTTTTTTCGATTTTCTTAAATTTTTTTTTATTTTTTTAGTTTTTTTAAAAATTTTTAAAAAATTTCAAAAAAAATCTACTGAGTGGACAAATCATTGTTCAACAGACCCACTGATAATAAATTACTGACTGAACGATGTAGTTAAGTTAGGGTTACTTCGAGCAGTCACTCTCTCGTCATCCTGTGTTTTCTCGCTATCGATGATATAGCTGGCAACTTCTTCATTCTTCGCAAATCTGAGCTTGCCGAACTCCGTGCTTCACATGAACATCTCATTGCCAGTCTTTCCAATATTAGCACTACGCAGGTGTTATTCAAAAATTTGCTCTGTCCACCGCAGATGACCAGTTGAGCTGTTTCTCTGGCATACGTTACCGAGGAAATATTTTTCGTGTGCGACTTTGGCCATTGTAGATTTACTCCATTCTAAAAAACATGGCAAGTAAGTCAATCAGTACTTGGAGAACCTGGGTCATCTGTAATTAATTTTCTGATCCCCCACCTATGCAGCCGGCAACCTTCCCAGCTGTTTTGACCAGTGCTGTATTGCCGTTTGATGGCCATATTTTTAGCGATTCTGACATTTACTGACGAAAATATCATAATTGATCGTCATATTTAGTCAAACAAAGCAAAAACTCAATAGCTTCGAGTACTTGAGAGCCACGTACAGTGTGAAGTATATCATGATTTCTGAAATCGGATATTTCGCTTCCATTAAGCCATGTACATTCCACACACTCTTTTTATTTTTTATGGCTAATTGAATAACAAGTTTTGCTTCTTTTAGGCTTACGTGCACAGTGGGAAGGCAGAAGAAGCAAAGCGTCGTGCTGAGAGAAAATCGCCACCGCCGCGGCAACGAAACGTTCTCTCGAAAGTTGCGCACAGCTTAAAGCCATCATCAGCACGAAAGCGCTGGCAGAAAGTGAAAGAGGAAACAAGTCGATATGATCTCCGGTGAGCACCATAATCATAAATCTGTTGCATTATACAGTACAAGCTTAAAAAGTAAGATTTGAATTATTAATTTGAAAAGTGCGCAAGTTTCGCGATTATTCCGAGCTGACTATGGCGAATTTTACGTAATTTTTGCTTCATTTCTTTGTAGAATTTGAATAAATTGATCGAAAACTGAAACGTGCCTCTTGCACGTAAGTTTATCTTCCGAGCAAATTTACAGTTTTTATAAACAAATTTACTTTTAATCCCTTCTCCTCTTTCTTACCAAAACTTACATGTCCCCTCCAACATAGCGAAATGGGGTACTGTACTGATGAATCCCGCCCCATTTCGCACCTACTCAGTCTTCTGTTTCTGCAGTTCAGGGATGAAACACAGACGTCGCCTACTACTGTTTTCCTTTGTTGGTCTACACTACGACCAAATTACACATGTGGTCGTAAGAAACGTCTTACC